ACAATTTTGAGATTGTGTCAGTGCTGAGCTAAGTTATGGTTTTATAGATTATTAAGGATAATTGCGGTGCTGCCTTCAGTAATCATTCCTTTTTAAGAATATCACACGTTGTTGAATTGTACCGTAACACTACTATTTGCCGTGGCTGATGATATGCAATCTAAGATAACGTTCTCGTGCATTTCATTTACTGGGAAAGGCTAAGAAGTACTGTTGTCCACTGCAGTCCCCCGTTAGTGCGTTTTGAAAAATTATAGTGATATTTCTCTGTGATACTTCGCGTATTTTTAAGTCTACTTCCATCGCATATTTAAAGGAAAAAGTCTGGTGTGTGTGTATATGTAAAGAACAGCTAAACGAGACTAGTCGGTTTACCGTTTTATTTATATATCTATTCCTTCTTTTATTCCTTTTGATTTGCTTGTTTTTTTAATTCCAAATTCAGTAGTCAATATTGTTGAGGGTCGATGAGGTCCATTCAAAACTTGGGAAGCACATTCTGATGAAAAACCTCTGCACCTTTCCTCGAAGCCTATCTATAGTAAACTATAAGAAAGCAATCTCATTGCTGTTGCATTTTTGTTGTTATTATTACTGTTATTGTTATTATTATTACTATTATTATTATTTTACCTTCATGTAAACATTCAGTTTTTGGGCATAATATTTTCCTAAATTAACCGTCGCATCCATTGTTCTAATTATATTCCAAAGGTCCCTCTGTCTGGCGAAAGCACTCAATTCTCTGAGCAGGAGTGGGGTTTCGTCAGTTCTTTCTGTATACCAGACCTCTCGAAGTACGCCTTTTGCATTTACTTCTGATTCTTTGGATAAGAAGAGTTATTCGAAAGCCGTGGATAGAACAAAGTTTTCAGTTTGGCTGAGAGGTTTTAGTTTTGATGATAAGTTGGAAAAAAAAACAAATGCGAAGCCATATCATATGTCTGGATTCTCGTGCTTCCTCTATTAATATTAAAATTCTGGGCCACAATTTTCCTGCATGGGCTGGACATTTCCAAAATGTTGTGTGGTGCGTTAAAGCGAGGACAGTAATGACAACCTAAAATTCGAACTTACCAATTGCCAAAACACGGACATGTCACAATGCCAGCGCTGTATCCAATTTGGACCCTTTGATATACAAAGTGTCACCTTTTACCGGAGGAATACATTGGTACTCCAAGTACGAAGAGTTGCCTCTCTTTGAACACACAGAACTGGTAGATTCATCACTTCGATTGCGTGAAAGGATCGACACTGTGAGAGGTCCGGGGATACTTGTGTTCTCGGAATTTTTTATGGTCACTTTGTAGATGTAGAACCTCTTCCCTAGCTTTATTTCGAGCCATGGACGCTCTTCCTAACCACAAATGTTGAAAAAGCATCAGTTTTGCTTTATGTAAAACAAACTCAAAAATGATGTTTGAATAGGCATCATTTGTATTTTCTTGGGTTTCTCTTCAGTTTTAGGCGGTAAAGGTGATATTTTGGTCAGCAATACGATCCCACCTCTTGATTGGTGACATGCTGCTCTGGCATGACTTTCTACTGTAATTAATGAGTTGCCAGTAATCGAGTCCGTGTGTTTGCGTAAAGATTTCTGGCAAACCTTCTCATCGTCGCAGAAGAATGGGTTAGTTTCAAGCCGACTGTCCAAGCTTATTCGTGGTAATTGTTCACAACAAAGAACCAATGTAGGAGTTTAATCACTTTATCGCGATAACATTTAATGCACAACCACATAATTTCAATTGCCCGCTGCCCCGAAGTCGGTGTTGTAGCGCTCTTATGTGATACCAAGCCAAGAAAAGAGCTAGAAGGAGACTTAACACATGGTGAATGAAACTGAAAAGGCTCTAATGAGTTATTGTTTGGCGATTTATAGCAAATTTTTCTAAATTTTGAGAGATCATTACGCGATATCAATTTCGCACTAAACTTTATGCATGGACAAAGTTTATCAGTAGATTCTGTTTCATATTTCATGGCTATTCAAACAAAAACTTACGCTTCCCTTGTGTCAACATGACCTAAATCCATTTCATAATAAAAAAGCGGCGAAAAAGCGATGATTCCTCTCCAAAATTGTTTATTTGGACGTCAAATAACCTTTCGCCATATATTTCCTTCTAGCAACTTCCAACGCTTGCCAAGAGGTGCTCCAAGAAATCTTTGCGCACACAAAGGATACGATTACCGGCAACTCATTCATTGATTGGCATTCTTGATCATCGAGCAACGATGGTGTAAAGGCGCTCACCAGGTTAAAAATATACCAAGATATGTAGATGTTTCTGCTCTCTTACCACTTCAGAGAAGAAACAGGTCGTAAGATTGTCATCGACTGCAAATGACGAATTGCTTCCTGTCGCCAAACTTGAGTGGTCTGTCACACTTCCAAATGCAACATTTGCTATAACAGCTGAAATAAAATAAATTATGAAGAGGCTGGAAGATTGAAAGATCATCCAGCATTTTTTGATAATTTACTATATAGTTGAATTCTGCATTCTTTAACTGTTCATACTTCAATTTCACAGGGAGCAGTTTAATTGGTTCATGTCTCTCGCGTCGTGAAATCTAAAAAAATTAAACTGGCTTAGTATTTTTTAGGCTATGACCATCCCACCTCTTGGTGCTATTTCTGTCCGCCTCGTACCTTTCAAATAAGCCTGTTGAGCCTGATGAACACAAACGGACTCTTTGGGCACCGTTCTGAAAGGACATTGAGGCCTTCTCAAAATTTGATAAATAAACAGACGAAAGATGAAAAAGAAGTTCCCAGTGCAGATACAGTCTTGTATTTACCAAATCCAAGGTATGAACCTGTTCACTTACGTTGAGCACTTTGACAGGCGTAGGAATAAGCACTGTTGCACCCTGCATTTGTTATGTCAGGAGTGTACCCAGAAAACACAATACAATTTTCCTCGTCATTCCTTATCTTGGGATATCCAGCTTGAAAGAGAGATGCGTCAACAGATGCTCCATCAAGCCATGACCAGCTGCTCAGATTCCTTACAAGCCCGACGAAAAAGCTACTTGGCCACTTCACCGTTACTAGAAGTGAGGCAACACTTTCAAGTTTTTCTTTGGTGTTGATAACTGCCAAGGTGCTATTTTGGGTTGAGCAGTCCCACTGAGCATCCTCCCAGATAAGACGAGGAGTGGTGACTATCTTATAGCAGCGATCCTCTACTACTGAAAAGCCTTTTTGGCAGGTTCTGTTGGCTAAAAAAAAGCTTTGTCTTCAAGTTTCAATACTCCAGTCCCAAATACTGCAAACAACTCATTGAGACACACTTTAAACATGCAATGTTTCATGAAGAGTAAAATGTATAAAAAAAGCCTTAAAACTTACTCAATGGAGACTCGCAAATGTAAGCCCTTCTTATCTTATTGCAAGGCCTTACTGCTAACCACCAACCACAGCTTCTGTCAAACCACCTCTTTCTGAAATCCTCAACCACTCCACATCTTCCATGAACTGTTTTTGGTTCTCCGTTTCCCCAGAGAGCTGAATCAACCTCAGTACCGTCAAGCCATTTCCAGCGAGGGTTGAAATACTCCCGTGATCCTAAAAACAGAGGTCTACGTAAAATAACTCTAGTTTCGTAGTACATGGATAGTAGTCCGTTTAAGTCTGCTTTATCTCGCACGATCATGAGGTCCGCTCCTTTCTCGTTGCATTTCTCACGCGCCTTTCTCCAGAGGGTAACGCCATCTTCATCATTAAGATCGAGACGAACGGGATTTTTTCCTATGAAAACGCAGCTGCTTTTTAGACGGAACCACCCTGAAGGACACCACTTTTGTTGTACTAAGATAAGAAAAGGATAGATCAATGAAGCGAAAAACGTTCACCAGGTATCTTTTTCAGTAAAGAAATACAATTGGGGAGAATTTCCCATGATGCACATGTAGCAGGTTACCAGCCAACTCCATTTAAGGGAGCTTGTAGCTGAGACAGAATTCGTGTTTAGAAGCCATAAAAAGGCGAAGTACCGATTTGGAATACGTTGTTTGGTTGTCAAATATCGTTCATGTATTTTTAGAAGAAACGTTCTACCTATGGGAGATAATTTTCAGAGGTGCAACAAAAACATTTTTGACACGGCTCATGCAAAAAAGTGATGATAGCAAGAGTTATCAAGGTCTTTGTTTGTTTTACCTGCCTTAGCTTTGGCTCCAGGAAAATAATACAAACCATTACATTGATTGCTCTCGCATGGTGGGTCGGCGTTAACAGATAAATGCAAAGTCATGCACGAAAGATGAAAGTCGGATTTAAAAATGGTTTATTCTAACGCTCAAACTGAAAATCAGAAGTGATAAACACTTTTTAACTGCAGTAAACTTCAAGCTCATCAAAGATATAAATTTAACAATTCTATTTGAGTTTCTTGCATCGTTGATCCACTCTCTAGACCATCTATGTGAGGTCGCTGTTGATTTCCAGTAACCTTCATGTACATAAAGATGTTGTTACCCGATATACGGGATATTATATCGTTCGTTTTTACCTGTCTATGTGTTACGCGATAAGAAGCTAAAATAGAGGGATAAAGGCTGATAGTTTCGAAAGAAACTGTTTGGGGCTGCGTCGGTGGGAGTAACGAAATAACTTGGATATATCAACAAAATTGAAGTGGTAAATTGGCCACTGTAACGATTAAAAAAGCTGACGTTTCGAGCGTTAGCCCTTCGTCGGCGCTCCGGCCAAGAGCTAACGCTCGAAACGTCAGCTTTTGTAATCGTTACGGTGGCCAATTTACCACTTCAACTTTGTTGATATATCCAAGTTAAAATAGAGGGAGTTTATCAGTTAAAAATAAGATGAAGGGTTGCCCACATTCACAGTATTCCCATTGTTCATCTTCAGTTAAATTGGAAGTTGTGGCACACCAAGGTCTCCCAGCTGATCCATCAACCGTACAGTCAGTATATTGTCTGCCATTATACTCAAATGGAAACACACAACACTTCCCCGATGGCAGGAGAAATGTGGAACACGCTTCTGTTGGTGCTGAAAATTGAAATGAAACAGGTCAAGGTATTAGTTCGAAACCTGATTGTTTTGCAAAGTCAAAGAAAAAAAGGGTTCGACTGATAGTTACTCTAAGTGTGGTCTACTTTGTAGCTGACAAGAAATTAATTAAATGTCCCTTGGGTCAGACTTCTTGGAATCCATAGAGCCCACGGTTTTTGGTTTTGTTTTCTTTTTTTTTTTTGTTAATTTTCATTTTTTTATTGATTATAATAGTTTTTTTGAGCTGTGTGCGAGGGCATATTTGCATGCATGCTCTCTTGCTGTTACGTTTCCTGTTATACATAGTTGATGCCATCCCTTGATGTGAGTGGTGTTTGCGTATCTCCGTCGTTTCTTTTGTGTTAGCCGTTAGCGGCATTAAGATTTGTGACTTAAAGCTCTTCCTGATTGCTTTTTGAAAATAGTAATGTAAGGCTTCCTGTTTTGCATTTTTTATTGAACTTTTCCGTTATATAGAGGCGCCTTCACTTTTTAGATTAAATTTCATATTTTCAGAAGCGGGGTTGAAAGATGAGACTTTATCATATTAAAACTAGACACATTACACTGTTGAACGTGATTTTTTTAATGCTATCACTTTTAATCCTTAGTTAATTTTTTTAATTTTACTCACTCGCAGATGAGGAGGCAGTGACCAGAGACAAGGTGAAAATGGCAATACTATGAGCACCAAAGCAAACTTGGCAACCACGTGGCATTTTCAGTTATGGACTGCTTCAATTCTCTAAAAAAAAAAAACAGCAATCTATGAAAGTAATACACAACCATTGATTCAGCTCTCTCCAGATTTTTCGGCTGCACGAACAGCATTAATAAAATGGAGGATCCCTCTTAGCAACTTTTCCTCTACCGCACCTAACTCCACAGAGAATTCGATGTTGATTAAAAGAAGGCTAGAAAAATTGTTAAAAACAAAACAAAAAACCAAAGCATCGCTTCTCTCAGTATTTTTAAAAATTACCTTAATTCTGTCAACTTACAGTATTAATATAACATCCACAATCCTACTTCTCAGTTTTGCAGTTCATAATTTTATGATTCCAAGCTGTTGCTCTAATATGGAAATAACTTTTTCGAGTTTTGAGATTAATAAGAAAAAAAGCCGTAATGCAAAGGAACACGATGGTATTGATTAGGCCAAAATACTGAAAATTATCCTACCATATGAACAAATAACCTAGTCAGTGTTCGGTCAAATTCGTTCCTTCAAATCACCTGCCATAATAAAGTTGACACTTTTGTTTGTAGCAGCAGTCGCATAGCGCGACAGAAAATTCGTGAAGAGGTCTAATATATTTATTTCCAACATCATCCGTTTTCGTTCGCCTCGCCAATTCTTCTTTTCTTTTTTCCCTTCTTTACATTGTCTCAGCCATCAACTATTTCAAGGCTAACATTTGAAAAGCGAAGGATATATCGAGACCTCCGCATTTACAATCGAATCTGAGGTAGAACCTGATTCATAAGCAACATTTTTAGATGGACGCGTACGTGACCGGGTTATTCCTTGCTCCTAGCTGCTGTTTGCAACTTAGGAGTAATAGTCTTCTATGAGAGGGTTTTAAAGATGACAAACTGTATCTTAAGGCACGTACCTTTGAGTTTCTTATCACTTGTGATATTGGACAGAGTAAAAGAGAAGTGGTGAACGAGAAACATGTAAGCTTGTTTCTTTCAAAGCTTTCCTGCATCTCGACGCAATATTTCGTAATCGGAGTTCAACTTACATATCTGAAGGTTTGTTATGATTGCTTTGGTTCCTTATCAAACACTAAAGCGGCGCCTATTTTCTGTAGATACCGGGCTAAAGCTTCTGATAAGAAGACCAATAACGGACGATTTTTTTGACGGCTTTACCTGTGCGTCAAAAAAATTAATTATCATTTGAGAAAAAAAAAAGTTGAAAACTACGTCACTTAGTCCACGCAATCTTTAAATTTTACGACAATTCCTCACTTAATGAAAATCTTTACCTTTTGCAGCAAAAGTACGGTATTTTTGCTCAATGGAGTAGAACTGTTCGGTCTTTTTCCTGTCATAATTCATGATTATTCAGTGTATGGGAAATATTGTTAGCGTCGTTTTAATCAGGAAATTGAAAGCTCGGAAGAAACTGTTTGTGTAGTGCGTGGTAAAATGAAAATATGAAACAACCAAGGTAACTCGAGGGCTGATAACTACAATCAACCTATGAGATTAACTAACGTAATCATTAGTCAAACCATAATTTATAACAAATAGGACATCGACAGTATGAAAAAATATCATATGACCGGTTCGCAGCTTTTCCCAAATTTAGAATATCAGAAGATGGCGTATCGTATTTCGCAGACTGCACTGGACTGGACTGGACTGGACTAGTAAAACGAGGACTAGTAAAACGAGGACTAGTAAAACGTGGACTAGTAAAACGTGGACTAGTAAAACGTGGACTAGTAAAACGCGGACTAGTAAAACGCGGACTAGTAAAACGAGGACTAGTAAAACGCGGACTAGTAAAACGCGGACTAGTAAAACGAGGACTAGTAAAACGCGGACTAGTAAAACGCGGACTAGTAAAACGAGGACTAGTAAAACGCGGACTAGTAAAACGCGGACTAGTAAAACGTCGACTAGTAAAGCGCGGACTAGTAAAACGTCGACTAGTGAAACGCGGACTTAACAACAACAGCAACAAAAAAAACAATTTCATACAAAGGCGATCATAAGACTATAATGGCGAGCCAATTTTAAAAATTTTGTGCATTTAATGTTATGCCAATGCATTTCAACGGTTTGGTGAGTAACAATCCCTGTTTGACCTTTAAGCTACAAATGGATTTGACACGGCGCCAGATAAAAACGATTTTGTAAGTTTAGGCTAAGAAAGAATTTTATTCAGCAACCGTTCAAAATCCTAAAATAAACTTTCGTCGTAAATTTCACGGCAGAAACGCAGGAATTTGATGAATAAAAGTCGCATTAAATCTCCTTGTCTCTAGGTAGAAAGAGTCTCATTGACTTCAGCTTTTCGGTGGAAGAAAAACCGATTTACACACGCCATTACAGAAAACAAACAAGCAGACCGTATAACTCCAAAACAAATATTTGTATTCACTTACAATTTGACTTTCCGTGACCTTTTAAAACGGAACAGAGGTGAATCTTCAAAGATTAATCGTCGTTGGAAATAAAAAATACTTTCCATAAGATCTCTAACTGTTTTTCTTTTTACGAGAAAATCGTCGCATGATCATTTAACTCGTGTGTGTTTGTCACACCAGTACTGCTGTTTAGCGTATGCTTCTTTCCTCTTCATTTGACAGGTGTCACATCATGACAGTTACTTATCAAAAAAGTGTTTCAAAATTTGCTCGGAAGCCTTGAACTACGTTTACAAATTTAAAAATGTTTCGGCGAAAGCTTTCTCTTTAATTTGAATAACGTTTGTTTTCTTTATAACCCACTCGCTATCAAATTGTGAAGTCCAAGGAGGATTTTCCCGTAATTAAACTCGTAATTGTAGCCCTAAATCATTCGGGTTCTTTTGGCAATCATTTTTTTTTTATGTGTTCAAAAAAAATAAAAATGTTATTCACCAGCAGAGGTCGGTCCGTATTGGGAAAAACTGTGCTCTAGCTAGGTCTTGAGTACCGCCCGAGGCCTCCGGCCTCGGGTGGTATCCAATACCTCAGGCACAGCTTTTACAGGATACGGACCGACCTATGCTGGTGAATAACAACAACAACAACAACAACATCTTTTATTTATAATCACAGTTTAACTTCTAGATTAAGACTACCTGCAATATAGCGAAGCTAATTGAGGCAGGTAGTTGAAAAACGTGTCAATTACATATTAAAAACAAACGTTATTCAAATTAAAGAGAAAGCTTTCGCCGAAACATTTTTAAATTTGTTAAGGTAATTCAAGGCTTCCGAGCAAATTTTGAAACATTTGTTTGATAAGTAACTGTCACGATGTGACACCTGTCAATTGAAGAGGAAAGAAGGATACGCTAAACAACAGCACTGGTGTGACAAACACACACGAGTTAAATGATCATGCGACGATTTTCTCATAAAAAGGAAAACAGTTAGAGCTCTTACGGAAAGTATTTTTTATTTCCAACGACGATTAATATTCGATGATTTACCTCTGTTTCGTTCCAAAATGTCACGGAAAGTCAAATTGTAAGTGAATGCAAATATTTGTTTTGGAGTTGTACGGTCTGCTTGTTTGTTTTCTGTAATGGCGTGTGTAAATCGGTTTTTCTTCCCCGAAAAGCTGAAGTCAATGAGACTCTTTCTAGCTAGACACAAGGAGATTTAATGCGACTTTTATTCATCGAATTCCTGCGTTTCTGCTGTGAAACTTACGGCGAAACTGTATTTTAAGATTTTGAACGGTTGCTGAATAAAATTCTTTCTTAGCCTAAACTGATGTTATAGAGCATTTTCAAGGATTGATATTTCGAGTGTTTTCAGGTTTACCTTTTGTTTTATTAAGTCTCGCTTTTTCGCCCCTACGTGCTATTTTGACGAATCTAAAGTTTTGATCATTTATTTTTAGTGTGTGCTTGAACTTGGCTCAGTTCTCACCGTGCTAGACATTTTAATCGCTTGTTATGGTTGAGGATAACTAGTTTGCTAGGTGGTCATGTTTGGGTTGGTAAAACTGACCTGAGTTTTACCCACACTGAATATCTGTTTTGGAAATTCCCACGGTTAGCTAACCCAAACATGTCTGTGATTTTTGTATTTAATACTGGGGCACTCCTTGCTAAAAGTAGTAGAAATAAGCAGTGGAGAAAGAGAGAGAAAATTAGCTGTAGTAGAAGCAGCAGTATAGGAGAATAAAGAAGAAAATTACAGAGTCTCAGTACCCCACTCGTTTTTGAAATAGGGAATTATAGCATACATAATTTACATGACGAGATTTGAATTGTTGTACTTTTATTGACACTGTAACATCATTATGTTCATGTGCATTAGTCATACATATTGACAACTTTTTCTAGAAGATCAGTGTTTATCACGTCTTCAACTAAGCACATACAACTCCATGCGAAGAGCAAACCAACATTCGCGATCGCTTGTGCAATAATAATTGTGATTTATGTAGGAAACACCAAATCGTACTTTACAAGTATTGAACCCAACGAAATACCAATGACAGAAACAGAATATCTAACGGAAGAGCTAAGCTTATATATTTAACCTTACTATTCAAGTTCCTTCTGTCAGCATCCTTATCCAGTTCGCTGTTGTTAGCGCCACCTTCGGAGTTGTGTTCACGAAACATTCTTGATTTTTTAAGCAAGTGAGGTATTTGTCTCAGTATCATAGTTCCTTATTAAATCGGCCGTCACAGTTTCGGCACTATTTTCGAAGTTTGAACTCACATACGGCTCATTTGTTGTTTCGTGAGAACTAGTATGAACTTGGCACATTTGGCTAGCTTTCAAGCTATGAAGTTCGTGGACAGGCTTACTCCGAAAACATTCGACATCATTTAGCGTGGGCCTACCAAAAAAGGCGTGTGCGTTTGCATGTGGGATGAGCGTATGAGACAGGAATCTTACCAAAGCGGTCTTCACAAAACACAGCATGCTGTAAATTATGTTCTTTACGAAGAGCGAGCACAGGCTAAAAAAATTTGTTGCACGGTTTACACAAGGAACGCCTGGGACCATGACACCTCTTTTTGCGACCAAGAACGGCTTGCATTTTAAGACTCGATTTG